GATGCCTATCAGAGGAAGTTTATTGAGTAGCTGCAGACTTAATTATTGGGTGTAGATGTTGGGGTTGCATTTTTGTTAAACATGCTTGAATAATTTTTTTGAACCCAGGTTCGTTAGGAGCTCGGGTCACTGAGCTAAAACAGAAGGTGATTGCTGAGAATCCCAGATGGTTTGGTTTGGCTGTTCCACGTAAGTCTTCCATGTTCCATAAGTGATGCTGTTCGTTCCCAATTGCATTTTCTCTACAGAAAATGGATCCCCTAGTTGACATATCTAATAAATGTATCTTGTCAATCCGTCTGGCTGTCTGAAACTTGAACCTGAAGACACGACCCGAGGTAGAAAGCCCCATGAGAGGGAAGGAGTGGAGTACCACTTCATCAGCAGAGCAGCCTTTGAAGCAGACATTCAAAGTGGGAAGTGAGTATAAGCAAACAGTATTCTTTTGATTTGATGCAAAAATCATTAATATAAAGCATTTTGCAGTTTATGAAAACAAAAACTTGACTTTTTTTTTACATTGTTTCTTTGTGATCTGTCTTTTTCTTTAGGTTTATTGAATATGGGGAGTATAAAGATAATCTTTATGGCACCAGCTTGGAGTCCATTCATAAAGTTCTGAGACAAAACAAGGTTTGCCTAGTAGATGTCCAACCAGAGGTTAGTATGCTGATTGTCTACAGCCAGCCAAGAACTTTGCAGCTAGGTGAAATATTCAGACATATTATGCTTTTATATCCAGACGTTCTGGGTCAAAATTTTGACCTGTCTGCTGTTTGTTATCTTAGACTTAGATTTAGACAAACTTTTTTTTGAAATTTTGATGCTTACAACAGTGAAATTAACACTACAATTTACCTTCTACAAGTTCTCCAACAATCAATGCGGTCTTTAAAGAACACTTGTTTTTATACCTCAATTAAATTTGATACAGATTTTATTTTGCATGTGCCAGAATAAAGGGAAAAGGTAAATATCTGCACTGTTTCAAATCTTATACTTCATTTTTAGGAGAACATTTAGATACACATAAAAGAAGCTGAATATATTTAATAATCTATTTATAATGGAAATAAACACCTGTTTACTAAAAAGGTGACTTTTGAGGGAATTTTGTTACACTTGATTTTTAAGTATGGGAATCACAGCGAAGGGGACAAAATTTACAACACATTTATCATTATTTACTTGTACAATATTTTGGAGAACCGTGTTTTTTACACGGCATGGTTTGGCCCTAGTCCATTTTCATCTGTTACATAAAATGTATATAAGAAACATTAAAGTTCTACAAGGCAGTGTTAGAGGTATGGGTCTGCATTTCAATCATGCATGTTTAAAGATGCCAGTAACAAACTAGTGGTGCAAGAAAAAGGTGAAATCTATTGAGAAGGCCAAGAGATTTACCTAGATTACAAAAAATACACAATTTAACTGTTATGAGAAAATCTATAAATGCTACATATTTAGGCTGACAATCATTCTTATCTTAATTCAGCTGATAGCCATGTGAATTACATTGTAACAGAAGAAATCATTTCATATATATGATACAAGCTTAATGTTACAATGTTTTTTTTTAAATACAAAAATTAAGATATATATTTTATACTTCCTATTTACAGACTCAACAAAAAACTAACCTTATAATATGTTAATGTTGTTTAAAAGGCTTTTTCACATGTTCCTCATTAAAAGCAAAAAACGCAATTTCATTCTTTTGCGGTCAATTAAAAAAAAACAAAAAAAAACAGATTCTGACCAAAAAAACTGGATTCCAGTCACCTCCCTAAGTAAAGTTATAATTGCTATGGAAAGATATCCTTCTGCATCAGCAGTGTGTTGAAAGGTCAGATTAGTATCATTTAGCTACAGCTGGGAACACATAAGACATAGACCCAATGCCTTTTGGCAGATATGACTTTGTGCATATGTCTGAAATATTACATTTGTTCTATTATTTGTAAAATAACGTTATATTTTTGTTGGACACCCGGGACTTTAAGTTCTTGCATCAAAAATTTTGTCCTGATTTTACATCTCCGTTTGAAGTTCTTGCTATACAACTTCTGATCATCATTTGATAATCAGTCATTACTTCCTGATTTATAGATGTGTGTTATGTTGCTTTTCTTAACAGGCCCTGAATACGCTGCGAACGGCGGAGTTTAAACCATTTATCATTTTTGTGAAGCCTCGCATCCCAGACTGTCACAGAAAACACTTTGGCTCATCTTCCTCACTCAGCGCTGGAATCACAGTAAGTCACATGGCAATAATACCCACAGAGAGTCAGAACGACTTTTGTTATTCATAAAGGATCGATATAGAATAGCATGATAAAAAAAAAAAAATCTTTTTGTAAAAAATTCCAGTTGTAAAAGAATGGAAGCAATTGGCTCTTCCCTCTTTGTTGTCCTTAGGAGGAGGATCTTCAGGAAATGAAACTATCTGCAGAGAAGATGGATGAGAACTACGGCCATTGGGTTGACTATGTAATGTTGAAGGAGGACCCAGTGAGTGCCTTAGCAGAGCTCCAGATGGTGCTGGAGAGGGTGCTGACGGAGCCCCAGTGGGTTCCTGTCTGCTGGGTGAGACGTTAGCCAAATGAACTTCATGACCAAACGGAAACCACTGTGCAAAGAGCCTCAACTATCATGTTACTGTTCCACACGCAATGTTTCGGTGATGGTCAAAAATGTCATGGAGGAAAACTAAGTACACTCTAAAATAACTGTAGCTTCATTTTTATTTTGGCTCAATCTTTTCTATCAATGACTCAATTCATTGAGATTAGCAGGCTTTTACTCCTGTTACACTCTGACAAGGTTAGACTAGTGTTTTGACCAGGTTGACCGCCGTACTTGGAGTAGATCATTGTTGCATCTTGGTTTTTTTTTTTCCCCTCTTTCAGCCACTTTACTTAAACATTATTTTCCTGTTGTTGAGTCAGGTTGTTGGGGAATGTTGGCCTAATGGTTAGAGCAGGTTGGTTCTGAGAAGGTTGCAAAAAACCGATTTGATGCCCACAGCCTGCACTCTGGGTTCCTGAGCAAGACCCTTAACCTGAAACTGATCCTGGGGAGCCACACCATGGCAGCCCACTGCTCTTCAAGGGGATGTGTTAAAATGCAGAGTGAATTTCCCCATTGTGGGACATTGAAAAGGGTTAGATTTATTTATTTTATATTTTTTTGTCAGAGGGTCTTGCAGACAGAGGGGTTTAAGAGTTGGCTCAATGACAGAAAGGTGCCCATGTTATGTGGCTTTCAGAGATGGGAAGTAACGCAGTACAAATACTTCGTTACTGTACTCAAGTAGATTTTTCTGATATTTTTACTTTACTACTTATTTTTATGGCGACTTTTTACTTCTACTCCTTACATTTTTACACAAATATCTGTACTTTCTACTCCTTACATTTTTAAAAATTGTCTCGTTACTTTAGTTTTGAATCATTTCAATGGAGTTACCGTTATTTTTTTTCACGTCATCAATATCAAATTCAATCTAACTGGATGGGAATCTGCGTTGCATTTGATGCACCACTACAAGATGAATCGACAGATTCGGCGGTATTCATTAGCTGCAAATCATTGCAGCTTGGTGGCGGTGGCGTTAGCATAGTAGCATGGACGACGAGATGATTGAAAATGAACACAACGGAGATCTAGTCCTATTGGCAGACATCCATTTAAAATGTAGGCAACGGCATGAAAAAAGTGGTTTCTTCTTTTACTTTTATACTTTAAGTAAATTTACAAGCCTGTACTTTGTTACTTTTACTTGAATAAAGAAGTTTAATCAGTACTTCCACTTTTACCAGAGTATCTGTACTTTTACTCAAGTACAGAAAGTGAATACTTTTGCCATCTCTGGTGGCTTTAAATCAAGCCTCTGCTAGCTTGTTTTTTTTTTTTTTTGCCATACATCCACACTCTGTTCTAGAGAATGACACAATCCCTTTCTGGCTCCTAAACTCTACCACTATGCATGAACCCTCTCTGCACTTCCCAGCGGAGGGTCCGCCATATTAAGGGCAGTCCTAAACCACGTATTGGATAGGGCTAGTGAACTGTTCAGCCCTTAAATAGCAGGACTGCATCAGTGTAGGCTCCCTGGATTTGGCATAGCGTGTATCAGCAAACTAATGGAGGAAGAAACATCTGCATTTAAATATAAGTCCCGCTGGTTTGCTGCATCTTTGTCACAGAAAATGTTTGTGATAAAGATGTCTGACAGAAAATCACAAGTTAGGAGGAAGTAAAAAAGAAATAAATTCCAAAAGGCAAGGTCCTCTTTTTAAGTTATTAGACTGTATACATTTATTTCAAAAAGTTAAAAACAATCCACTGGATTTTGTTTCAAAGTTTGAAGACGTTTCGCTTCCTATCCAGGAAGCTCTTTCAATTCAAAATGTCAGAATTAACGTTGGGCTTGAAGCTTTATAAAGTTGCCTAAAACAAAGCCTTGTTTTGGCTGTGAAAACATGCAAATTGAACCTGAAGAACAGGTCCGCCCCTTAGGAATGGGAAGTTGTTTGGGTTCTTTGTTTGCCTGAAATACCTGATACTGCTCTATGCCTCTGAGAGAGGGGTCGATAGGGCGAAATGTTTTGGTCCCCTGCATTCGGGTGGGGGTTGAGATGATAGCGTGAAGGAATCAACTCTATCGCTGCGTTGTAGATTTTTGAGAGCTGAAACCTGAAACTGTATACATTTATTTCTAAGAAAGGGGAAAATGTTTGATTTCAAGACAACCTGCCCCACAGAGCTACAGCATAGCATTGCTATAGCAACATCTGCTTTCCTTTTCTTGGGAGAGAAGAGAGCCTCCCATTCTTATTTATACCCTCCACTTTCAATCAAGGCACCCCCCAAAGCTGCAAGTGTGACTTCATTGGGAGCAACACTTAATAGTTTAGGGGTAGTACTCAGGAGGCAGTTTGGGATTGTTAAGTATTTCTGTAACACCCAATCATGAACCTGAAACATGTATCAAAATATGTAGAGTTTGATATTTAGTCTTTCTGGAATGGTGATTGCAGACTGGCTTTATTGAAACATCCAAAAAAGAGCAAAATACCTTAAATGTTCCAGATGTTTTAAACTGTAATTATATATACCTTAAAATGGCCTTATAAACCTCCGCATGAAGCAGAAATCATTCTGCTTTAATTGCTGATGTGTTTCCTCATTAGCTTTGTGTTAAACCACACACTTACTGTATGTGACACATTAACACTACCATCTTCAAAATCCCCTCAGCAGCAAGAGTGTACTTATTTTCCTGATGACAATCATTATTGTTATAGAAAATATTTCCACTGGCTGTACTTTGTGTCATTATTGCATATAAAGTCTGCAGTGACTTTCTTTAGGACTGTTTAAGTGAAGCACTGTGTGCATTAGTCACACAGAGAGGAGTGCTGATGTACATATTGTATATCTCTAAGGTACAGTGGTAGTCTAACAACTATCTCAGGCATGCAGGACCAAGTTGAAAAAGATCTGTTGTGATGGGTTAGTTTTAGCAGCAGCTATACTGTGAAGTGCCATAATAAATGTGTTGAATTTGCACGGGAAATTGTTGTAAACTGTGTGACGACAGAATAAATCTGCCCTGTTGGACAACCGTTAGTCGACATTTTTTTTGTAAAATAAACAGACGTCATGAGGGAAACCATTTAATTATGGACTCATACAAACAAAGAAAGGAAAATATACATATGTATTTGCAATGTGTGCTGGAATCCCACACTTCCGTTTTTTCTTTTACTTCCACAGCTTCTTGATAGACATGTTCTTCTCGCTGTCTTTCTGCATCACCTGGTTAACAGAAACATGTTTTAGATAACAGATTCAAGCTTGTGATCTGTGTTTTTTGGTTACAGTATGCTTTTAGGATAAGTTGTTCTGACCTTTGCCACAGCCATCTCAAAGTCCTCTTGGGTAACATGGACTCTCCGCTCTCTCAGAGCGTACATCCCTGCCTCTGTGCAGACTCCCTGAAATATGAAAAGAAGTTTAAGCTACATTCATCCTTATCTGGCCGCTACCTGCCTTAAATCAGAGAGGTAAATTCTCACCTTAACCTCAGCACCAGAGGCTCCCGGCATCAGCTCTGCAATCTTCCTCAAGTTAATGCCACGAGTGAGGTTCATCTTCCTGGAGTGGATCTTCAGGATGTCCAGACGGGCCTGTTGCAAGCAGAGGTGTGTACATATTAAAGCAGATAACGACATAAATTGACCTTAAAAGGAACAGAAGATGCATTAAAACCCACCTCTTCATTAGGAGGAGGGAACTCAATCTTTCTGTCAATCCTTCCTGGCCTGAGCAGAGCCGAGTCCAAGATGTCAATACGGTTAGTGGCCATGATGACCTGCATATTTATACCAGAGATATTCGTTATGCTAATAAACTGGAATCATCAAGGTTAGTTGATTCTTATTTAAAAAATTTCCAACAACAAGCATCAAAGAATCGAAAAAAAAATTTAAAAAAAGGAGAAACCTTGATGTTTTTAGTCGCCTCAAAGCCATCCAGCTGATTAAGCAGCTCCAACATTGTCCTCTGAACCTCACTGTCTCCGCCAGAGCCGCCCTCCAGACGAGACGACCCAATGGAGTCGATCTCATCCATGAAAATGATGGAGGGAGCGTGCTCTCTCGCCATGACAAACAACTCGCGCACCATACGAGCCCCTGAAACAGAGCAGGGAAATATAGAATTAAAAGAAGATTCTTTTGGATTTTGTTGCAAGAATGGCAAGAGATGAGAACTCACCCTCTCCAATAAATTTCTGGACCAGCTCAGAGCCAGAGACCCTGATAAAGGTGCAGTCCGTGTGGTGAGCTACAGCTCTGGCTAGCAGGGTCTTTCCTGTACCTGGTGGTCCGTACAGCAGAACACCCTGAAAAAAGAAGCAAAGCAAATACATAACAACTGATTACAAAAAAGTTAAAAAACAAACCACTGGACTTTGTTTGCCAAGTTAGAAGACGTTTCCCTTCCCATCCAGTAAGTTTTTTTAAAATTAAAACGTCACAATTAGTGTTGAGTTCCAAGCTTTATAGAGTAGCCCAAAAAAAAGTCTTGTTTTGGCTTAGAAACTATGACCTGGATGAGTGGGAATCTTCACCAGAATACATAACTCATTCTGCAGCTAATCAGTCAAAACATTTTACTATTTAAGAGTATAAACTTCAGTAAATAATCTTTATTAAATTCTTAAGAATTCTTCGGGCTGAATATTTTAATTGTTTACACAGGTGGGGAATGTTTCATCAATAATTACTGGGTTTACCATCTATAAAGTCACTTATGTCTCCAAGAAAGTGAAATTGCAATATTTATTAAGCAATTCATACAGATAAGATCCCCATATTTATATTTCAAAGACTGTTGTGGTACAAAATGATTCCAAAACAGCTCGTCTCTTTCCAGACTCGATGAGAAATACAAGACCGAGTTTCACCCACCTTTGGTTGTGCGATTCCCAAAGCCTCAAACAGTTCTGGATGCTTCACAGGCAGCTCGATCACTTCTTTGATCTCCTTGATCTGTTTATCCAGGCCACCAATCATTTCATAGGTGGAATCTGGCACCTTCTCCACCATCATCAGGGAAACCAGAGGGTCCACTTTGTTGGGCAGGATCTTGTGGAGGGTGTAGCTGTCGTTACGTAAAGCCACACGGCAGTTTGGAGTCACCTGGTGGGGAAGTAACAGCAGTATAAAAATTGCTTGGTTTTCTGTTGAAGCTTAATAGCAAAGATACTCACATCATTTATGTCAATGTTCTTGTCCACATCCACAACAAATTTCCCTTCAGGATGTACCTAAGTTGAAAGAGAAAGTAGTCAATCCAGGCTATCAATCATTCCAAGCATTAAGATGTAGTTTAGTCCCAAAGCAAAGCAAACCTTGACCAGCACTTTCTTTTTGTCCATAACCCGGACTACTTCTCCCACATAGGACCCCTGCTCCTGCAACAGCTGCAGCTCCTCACGAAGTAGACGCACTTGAAGACAAAAACAAATTCTAACAAAGCCCTCATACCCATTTCAATTTAAGTATTTAGTGTTTGAATCTACCTTTGGCATTGAGCTCATTCCTTTGAGCCTGCAGGCGTCTAAGATTCTGGCTCTTATCATTCACAGTCAGCTGTGGAGGGGGTGGGTAAAAAATAAATAAATTAAGCACAGCTCCACCAAAAGTAGGAGTTAACGTCTGAGTTCTGTTAGTTTTGCACTTCTTTCTCACCTGTAGCTCCTCTATCTTCGATAAGTAGTACTGCCGGAGACCTGACCCGCCTTTACTCTCCCCTGTCTCCATCTGTCAAAGGAAAAATTACCTTAAGGATGTTTTATGTTAAAACAACAGAAAATTCCATCAATATTTTAACAGCAATTTAAGTTGATGTTTGTTCCCGATCTGTTCTATAAAAAAAGGTAAATAATATTGTCAGCAGGATTCCTGCAATATTCCTTTTAAATACATTTTTACACTTTTTCTTTCATTTCTTAAAGCAATTTACTATAAAATAACAATGAAAAGGGTTATATTTTACAAGCTTTGCAAACAAACAAAAAGGTGAGTTTACTCAAAGAAATAACGGGATGACCAAAACGTGGAACAAAATGTTTTTCCAAGATTAACCATATACTGCAGAAGTCTTGACATAGAAC